AGTACAGGGACTTTGGCCCGATTTTGGAGCAACTTTAAAAATTCGTAAAAAATCCAAACTTGATTGGAATCAGTTCAAACTTGCTACACAACATAAGTACATGTATATGCATCAGATAAAGTTATAAAAATGAAGAATTCTCTCCTTTTCATTTTTGGCAAAATTTGGCCCGAGACCATGTACTATAGTACAGGGACTTTGGCCCGATTTTGGAGCAGCTTTAAAAATTCATAAAAAATCCAAACTTGATTGGATTCAGCTCAAACTTTCTACACAACATAAGTACATGTATATGCATCAGATAAAGTTATAAAAATGAAGAATTCTCTCCTTTTCATTTTTGACAAAATTTGGCCGGAGATCATGTACTATAGTACAGGGACTTTGGCCCGATTTTGGAGCAACTTCAAAAATTCGTAAAAAAGCCAAACTTGATCGGAATCAGCTCAAACTTTCTACACAACATAAGTACATGTATATGTATCAGATAAAGTTATAAAAATGAAGAATTCTCTCCTTTTCATTTTTGATAAAATTTGGCCCGAGACCATGTACTATAGTACAGGGAATTCGGCCTGATTTTTGAAGACTCTAAGGATATGCCTTACCTGTCTCTTTCTAATTTCCTTATCTCTTCCTTCAAGAGCATGTTCTGCTCCAAGTGTCTCTGCTCCCTGTGATGTCACATGATGTCAAATGATGTCACACATTACACGTACATACCTTTCAGTTAGGTCTCTCATAGAATCTTCCAGTTCTAACTTACGAGACCTTAATGACAAAAGTTCTTCAGTAATCCATTCTTTCTCTTGATGATGCAAATACAACTGTACGTCATTATTAACTGGAAATGACTGCATGTATGAGAGGGGAAGGGAGATTGAATTATTATTAATTATTTAAAGTTACTTGTTCCGTTAGTTCTTGTACTATATTGCTACTAAATAAAGCTCCTCCTCTTGCTCCGCCCACTCTAATTGAGTTCCTTTCTTCTCTTTTGGTCAATGATAAATCTTCTCTCAATCCTAATTATAAAAATGAGCTCATTTTTAAAAAATATCCTTAAATAGCACATGCTTTTTATTTAAAATGGCTCCAAAATCACCTCCAATTTTTATTACATTTATTGCACGTGTCTATATCATTCAAACATACTCTCATTCTCTTCATTGCTGCTGCTTGAATTACGACTAGTAGACTGAGACAGCATGACTCCACCTCCTGCCACGCCCCTTTCTGATCCTAATGATTTACGAAGTGTTGACAATTCCTTCTCTTTTTCCTCCAGCAGACATCTTGTCCTCTCTCTCGT